CCCACCGGAGTGGTACCTATTGATCTACCCACATTTGCATGTTTTCGAACTGCTAGGTTGACAGAAGCTGGAGCTAACCGCATTGAGTCGCCTGACTGGGCTGAAAAATGCGGTATAGAAGTAAAGCAAGCAAATAAATAAATAACAGCGAGAGCTCACGCAGCTCCCCAGATTCGAATTTGCAACCTTTCGATCAACAAGTTCAGCTGCTCAGCAGTTCAACCCACTGTGCCACCAGGGGCTTCTCATTTAGGAAAAAGGGGATGGGATTTCTAGACCATACAACCTTAATTTAATAAACCCTCTTTACATTAAGGAGAATGTTAATTCTTTTCAGCAGAAATTTACCTATTACAATTATGTATTTTAGGCAATATCAATATCCAAGGCAATGACTACTGTAAGAAGAATGCTGCCATATACCTTTCTTTGGAAAAAGCTCTATACAAAAATTGCACTGATGATACCTGTTGTAACTTCTTATACTCATGTTTTTGTGCAGATTGTACGACTGCGTTGGCATTATTTTTTCTGACTTAATTCTGTTATTAAGATAAATTGTTCTCTATGTTCTCTAATGAATTTCTAGCAGTAAAACATTCAAGATTGACACAGTGCTATGTCCATATCTGTCACAATTTCAAAGGACACAATAAATACAAATTGTCACAAGAAGACCTTTCAAGCAATAGATGAGGAAAATGCATTATCCAGCAGTGAGAAGAAATGGATTCTAAATAGCAACAATCTCTCATCACTCATCAGTGGTAGCTTTAAATATCTTTCCAAGATACTACTCCAAAAGCAGGTTTAGCTCCTTTAAATTTCAGACGAAAACCTAAATCAGAATCACCCAACAATAATATGAGAGCCACAAGCTGCCACTCTAAGTCATTATAAGCAGGTAGCTTGAGTTTTAGTGCTTTTGATAAATACATTAATTCTCATGTATGTATAAAAAAGTATATTCAGCTCTACTGTTTTGTTGATATGCTTCAAATGTCTAAAAGTGCAAGAGTTCTCATTTTCTTACTGGAATAACTTTCCTTTGTTATCTACCCACATATCCAATATAAGACCCAAACTATTAATACGGTGTAAGCACCTTTTAAATTACAATTTGAAAACATACATGGTTTGAATAATCCAGACTGCAACAATGACAGCACCTCTGAAAGATTGCAATACTTGGGAAGTCAAATAGACTGTGGGTGTTCTGTCATGCTAGGGGCACCTGTGAGCCACTCTCAAGCTGTTTGACTTTTGTTGATGTTACTCATGAGGAACAGACGGCAGAAGCAAAACTGAAATTACATTGCAATTTAAATTTTACATCCGCTTAAGACCATACACAGCTTGCAATAAGAACATCCTACAGGCAAGATAAAAACTAGAGTGATTTCATATTCAAGAGCCATCAAAATTTCTTCTTAAAAGAATCCAGTTAAATATGTTCATTTCAGAGAGCACATGAAAATGTACCAAATGTGATTTTAAAGAGTAACTACTCTTGAAATGTACTTCACCAAGAAACATGACATTCTGTCTAGAATTTAGGCCTATACTGATAACTGGATTAAATGTATATTGGTGAGGAAATAAACTTAACCAGAATAAATAGCAGATTCCATTATAAATATTCTGAGAACGGTTTTTTCCTATGACTTTTCCTATCACTGAATCTGATTTTTTTTTTGGAGAAGGGGGGAATTGAGAATTTAAAAGCTTTTCTCTCGCGAACCAGCACAGCTACCTTTTTCACATGCCTCAGAAAATACCATAAAATACCAGAAGAGGGGACTTGTATTTTCAGTCACTAAGTAAAACTACACAATCTGTCTTCTACTACTTTCAAACTACTGCACAATTAAAAATAAATCCCTTTCTATCACTGTCATGTTCCTTTTTTACTTCTGCTTCCCTGTGTCCACCATGTCAAGAGACAGCCTAACCTTTGTGTTAAATCTCCCCACAACACCATTATTTTTGTATCATCTGGCCAGATAAGGAGTTTGGAAAGTGAGATCCAAATTGTCCTGTGACAATTTGGTTGATCTTAATTCTATTTTAATATTTATATCATGTAGGTTTTTCATTGTATTGTTTTTAGGATTGTGAGCAGCTTTGGGCCTTAATCAAGAATATCCTTAGAGAGAGAAAAAGTGGGGTATAAATAAACATAAAAAGAAGGAGGAGGAGGAGGGGAGGGTAACAACAACAACAACAACGGCATTCCACAACTATGGATTTGGGACTATATATATTCCAGCTGGGTTCTCCTTGCCGTATGGTTTTATTTGCATATGTATATTCAATAGATGAACATAAAGATTAGCAAGAAACATAATTTAATACTGGCATATTAACCTATATAGACAAAATTACTATTCCTCTTTTCAAATTGTGAACATATAAAAGTTTGATGGGTGCAACACACTGCATTACCCTCCTGATTCCTGCAAAAAAAGCCAATATGGAAGGCAAAAGCAGTCATTCAAATTTACAGATTGGAAGTTCAATTGTCTAACAAACGTTACTTATTAAGAAGGGGGATCATGAAAAATCTAATAAAAGACCAATGTCTACCATCAAACCAGTTAATATTTTAAAAATGTATGACCAAGAGATATAAATCTGAACAAACCATTTCATGAAGTCTAACATGGTATTTTGATTTGCAAATTGATGAAATGTGGGATAGATAGAAATAAGGTCATATGGAGCTATAACCGATTATGAAAACAATGCTTAAAGAGTTGCTATCACTGGCTGCCCTTCAAACTGGAGGGAAATCTACAGCAGAGTGCCAAAGGGTTCTGTCTTGAGCACAAGAGTAATATTTTTATTAATGATTGAATAGAGAGACTCATCAAATTTGTGGATGATACAAAACTGGGAGAGGTAGCTAACACGTAAGAAAACAGAAACAGAATTCAAAAAGACATTGATAAACCAGAAAATTAAGATGAAAATAAAAAAATGAAATTAAGCAAAGACAAATGCAAAATTCTACATTTACATTATAAAACCAAATGTAGAGGTATAGAATGGGAGATTCATGTCTTAGCAGTAGTACATGTAAAAATAACTTTGATATTACTGTTAATCAAAAGTTGAATATAATCTAGCAAAATTCCTTTGTAGCGGATTTTAAAAGTCTGCAAGATGAGCGGGGGACATCCGGCAGAAGTTTTTTTTAATGCTCTCTGAGATGCACTGGGTCTCATATATGCTCATACAGAGATCTACATGTACACACAAGCAGATTTCTTATTCACCCAACTGTAAATTCAAGCTCTGTTTAATATTATAGAGGCCAGAACAAAGGAATCATTCCTGAGAGTTCTAATTGTAATTGTTTTCCAACTGTGCTTCCATTGAGGCACCTGGGTGTCCGCGGCTCCATGTTTTAACAGCCCGATCAATTGTTTCGAGTTTTTAAAATGTGCACATGTGCTGGAGAAGTCCACACCAGGGAACTGGAAGGAAGCCACGTGACAGGAACTTTTTTGGGCCAGAATTGGGTTTTAAGTGAACCTTTTAAGGACATACATTTCCAGCTGTTAACCCAATTCCATGCACACTTTCCTGAAATGCCATTTAGCCACTCACACACACCCCTTTTAATTCTGGCTTCTTTCGGGTTTTTAGGCATGTATAGAAGGGCCCCTTGGTAAGGGACTCAATAGTATAAAAAGCCCCTTCTAATTCTATGATTCTATTTGATTATATACATGGTCTTTACATTATGCCCTTAAATAAGTCTCTTTTTTGACACAGAACAAGGGAAGTCAGCTCCCAACTCGGGGAAAAATGTTGTGAAGCCTTCAATCCAAAAAGAGCTTATATAATAATCATCATCATCTTTATTTTTAACCCGCCCTCTCTCCCCAAAGGGACTCAGGGCGGCTTCCAAAAACAAAAAAGCAAACATTCAATGTCATGTAATATCTTCTCGATATAGTTATATCTTCTCGATATAGGTCAATTCAGCCCAATCCACACTACTTGGGTACCAGAGATACAAGAAAGGTGGTAAAGAGAAGGTGACCTATCCTTCTACTTCCATCTTCCTGTGCAAGGAGGTTGAAGCTCAAACCATCAGTATAAAAGATCATTACACTAGCATAATGCTATAGTAGGATCCCAGCTACTGTTTAAAATTGAGTAAATGTTGACTTTCACAGGAAGACATATAGTTATTCATACATTGGAATCTTGTTGGCACACTAGGCTAACAGCATCTTTGCTAGGGTCATTCAGCAGGAAAAAAATGCCACCTCGTTTCTCCCATTCCTAACGCTTTACATGGTTGCTGTGCCCACAAGCTTTTTCTTTTTGCTGCCACTATTTATGCCCACACAGTATATCAGCAGAATCGTAACAATATTTATCCATGAATGTTAGGAATCATAACTAAAAGGCATTTATCATATTTTATACATACACACATTTAAGAATCAGTTCTCAGTATTTCACCACAGTGCAACAATCACCAAAAACAACTAGGATAGAGCAATTGCAAGAAGCAGGTACACAATCTTGAATGCTAACATTCATCCTAAGTTTAAAAAATGGCTTTAGGAACCTCTCTGATTATTCATATTTCTGTAATCTGTTTCACTAACAAAATAATGTTGCATACATTTATCTTTTTACATATCTCTGGTGGTTTGATAATTCATTATTTTGAACAGATTTTGTTAGCTGCCCTAAAATGTTTTAATATTATTTTAAATAATGTAAAAATGTTCATGTTCTTGGAGTCTTTGGTTGTGTTATTCTATTAAATAAACATAACTACAAAGGAGCACACAAAATATCTACTCCTATCCGTATTTTAAAATACATAATTCTGGTGAACTACAAACATGCATATTTTGTGGGATTTTGACTGCTCCCAATAAAGCCTTTGCCCAACTCTGCGGTTTATTTATTTATTTATTTATTTATTTATATCTACATATATATTTCATTATAAGAGTAAATATAGTTCTTACCTGTATATTCTGCCCACCAGCCCCAGGACGCCACCATAGCTAAAAGCCATTTAAATAATACTCCTTCAATATACCAGAATCGTTTACTATCCAACAATCGGAGAGGTTGCAGTACTATTAAATATAGGACGTAGGATGGAATAGCGACAAGGTTATTAGCAACCATAAAGCCAAATCTTAAGAGTGCCTTCAGAAATATATAGCCCGCCCTTTGGGCCTGTTCTAAAGTCACAGCCATTCTCTTCACACAGGAGTCGATAGTCTTTTCCTACAGGATAAGAAGGAGAAAAATTACTCAATACAAAGACCACAATTTTCTGATGACCAATAGGCAACAAGGCTTTACTAAAATCAAATGGTTGTGTACTTTGCAAATGTTAAGTGGCCTTAACATAGATTCCCTTGCTTCTAAATGCCAGAGTTGCACACATATCTTACATGGAATCTTATCTGTCTTTTCCCTCCTGATATGAGGGATTAATTTGGGCATGTCTATCTAGACAAGTTACACAGAATACATAATGACAGTTTTCCTTTTTAGAAAAAAAAATGACAAAAAATCACCACAGGCTGTAGAGAATCACTTGCATTAATTACAAGCATATGTTTATGCGGGCTAGAGACAAATCTCAGAAAACCCTTATCTATGATTTAAGTACAAAAAGAATCACAGCACATTGAGTAAGTCATCATTGTCTTAAAAGGTCATAGCAAAGAGAAGGTACCTTCTGCATGATTAAAAACACTAAAGAGTATTTGAGGAACAGAATTCCCCTCACTTTTACCCACAAATAAATAACACTATGTGACATTATTCCTGGTTTGGTTCTATCAAAAATATGGAAAAGGTTTATTAAACTGCAAAAACTTTGGGTTGCTGTGAGTTTTCCGGGTTGTATGGCCATGTTCCAGAAACATTCTCTCCTGACGTTTCACCCACATCTATGGCAGGCATCCTCAGAGGTTGTGAGGTCTGTTGGGAAGTAGGCAAGTGAGGTTTATATATCTGTGGAATGTCCAGGGTGGGAGAAAGAACCCAGTGATTCCGGCCATTTAAGCCTTTGACAACACACTGCAAAAACTTTGTTTTTGAGGGACATTCTTCAGAACATTTTGCTATAGCTTTTCAATGCATATCTCACTGAGTGTCAACCAATTGAGTTTCTGGATTATAACAACTACTTTCAAAGTAAGTATCACACAAACAGGAATAACATTTCCAACCCCCGAACAGAACGTTTTTCAAATTTTGTTGCTTAGTATAATTTAAGCATGATTTACTCGTAAAAGTAGGGAAATATTTAACTACTCTGTAGTTAGCAAGAATGAGTGACTGAGGGGGGAAAGCAGTTCTACATTGGCTATTTTTCTTAGCAACAGCAAGTGATAAACCTCAAAAAATAACACAATAGGATAAACTGGCTTTCTAACAATTTACATGAGGGAAAAAGTGGAATAAAATATATTAGATGACCTCTAGTAGGAAGAACAGGAATAAATGAAGAGAGAGAAATAAAGGCAGTAAAAAAATTCTGATGGGAAATGTTAAGCAAAGAAGAGGCATCTAAAGAAGACACAAATCTACAGAAACATTCATCCACAGAAGACGTTCCACTGAACACAGTGGGAAAAGGCTAGATTAATAATGAAGTCTGACTCCAATCTAACTCCTTTGGCTCAATGCTATGGAATCCCACAATTTGTAATTTGGGGAGGCTCCAGCACTCTTTGGCAGAGAAGGCTTGTAAAACTACAACTCCCATGATTCCATGGCATTGAGCCATGGCAGTTAAATTGGAGTCAAGCTGTATTAATTCTGTGTTACAGACCAGGGGTTCTTAACCTTTCTTGTTTCACGTACCCTTTGACAGCCATATACTGGCAAACCATATACCCCTTGGGTTGTTGTAGGGTTTTTGGAATGTATGGCCATGTTCCAGAAACATTCTCTCCTGACATTTCACCTGTATTATGGCAGCTCCCTGAGGAGAAGAGAAAGACCAGCGACATCCTCTCAACCCGAAAAACCTACAACCCAGCCATGAAGGCCTTAAACAATACATATACCCTTTTTCAGAACAGAGTAACAGATAGTTTTATGACACTTAACATGGGTGTGCCTTTAAATTAAATTTTAGTTTGAACACTTATGATCATGTTATTTAACATCCATTCTAACAGTTAATGTAATTTCAAAGTATGGATGAATGCAAATCATTTTTCGAAATATGCAACAATTGTGATGTGACTGTACTTTACTGCACAATTCATAAGTGAAGGAAATACTAGATTTCAGTTAGAGGTCAGAGAAAATATAGTAAATTGATTCCCCCCCCCCCCCCCCGAATTCAAGCTCACAGAACCTCTTCGGGCATGGGCAAACTTCGGCCCTCCAGATGTTTTGGGCTTTAACTCCCACAATTCCTAACAGTCATGTAAAACTACATCTCCCAGGGTTCAATAGCATTGAGCCATGGTGTTTTAAAGCAGTGTCACACTGGATCCATTCCCCAGTGTAGATGCACCCATGGCGGCTCCCGCTCAGCCAGCAGGCCTTGCCTAAATCATTCATTCACCTTCTGCTCCGCAGAGGGAAGGAAGCAAGGGGGCCGAAGAAGGAACTGGGCCCGGCGGAGGCGTGTGCCTTGCTTGGTGGCTGCTGGCGAAGGCGGCGGCGGCAGCAGCAGCAGCAGCTCTGACGGGAAGACGGCGGTCTCATGGACACGAGGTGGCTGGCCCGGCCCCAGTCGTTGTGGGCTGGGAAGACTTGGCGCCGGCGGCTCCCTATTCCCTTCGCAGCCGCTCCCTGAGGAGGGGAGAAAGACCAGCGACAGGGAGTCAGCCCCAAGGCAGGCAGGCAGGCGAGCAAGAGAAGCAGCAACAGCAATAGCAGCAGCAGCACGCCACAGAGAGGATTTTCCCTGGCTAAATCTATCCCCGCCTCCAGAGGCGGCTTTCGGGGCCTACCCTTCCCTCTTGGCCCTGGGAGAAGGAGGGGACTTTCACAGCTAACCCCAACTTCTCTATTCACACCTACACACAAGGCAGGCAGAGGACTGTGTGCTTTGGGTGGTTCTACGCTGCAGAATGCATGGAGGTTGATACCACTTTAACTGATGCCACTCAAGGCTATGGGGGTTGTAGTTTGGTGAGGCACCAGCACCCTGGCTAAGAAGTGCTTATAAAACTATAACTCCCACAATTCTATAGCACTGAGCCATGGCAGTTACAGTGGTGTCAAACTACACTTATTCTGCACCCTGGGAGAGAGACCTTTGCTTTTGATGGTTCCACCTACACAAACTTAGTCCATGCACAAAAATATTTAAAATACAGTGTATAAAATTACATGCAGGGAATGAGTATAAAGCATGCATGAAACACAAAAGAGTTTCTATGTTTACTTCCATCTCGGACATACCTTAATATATAGATCACACATGGACAAACTTTGGGTGTTTTGGACTTCAACACCCACAATTGTGGGAGTTGAAGTCCAAAATACCTGGATGGTCAAAGTTTGCCCATGCCAGATATAGATGTAAGTATTCCAAAAATCCAAAACTCTTTAAGCATTTTGGATAACGGATACTCAATCTAGAATCATAGAGTTGGAAGAGATCTCGTGAGCCATCCAGTCCAGCCCCCTGCCAAGAAGCAGGAAAATCACATTCAAAGCACCCCCAACAGATGGCTATTCAGCCTCTGTTTAAAAGCCTCCAAAGAAGGAGCCTGTTCCATAACTCCATGGATGTGCTACGCCGTGAAAAGATGGGATTCTCAGGACTAAGAATGCAATTTGACAGCACTTTAACAGCCATGACTCAATGTTATGAGATCATGGGACAGTTCCCATGTAGTGTCACAAGGTCTTTAGCCTTCTACGCCAGAGTGCTGGATCTTCAACCAAACTACAGTTAGTTTGGTTGAAGATCCAGCACTCTGGCGTAGAAGGCTAAAGACCTTGTGACACTACAACTCCTGGGATTCAATAGCATTGAGGCATGACAGTTCAAGCGTCGACAAGCTGCATTCATTCTATGGGGTAGTTAGTAGCACCCTAGGACCAAAGATCTAATGACTCCAAAACCCATTTTTCTCCCATGAGAAGAGAGAATCCTAAACACCTCCGAGGTCACCAGAGAACCCCTGAAGGGTACTGAAAAAGGGACATCTATTCAAAGACAAAAAAATCTCTATGTCCTTCCAGACCTATAATGGGAGCATTCACTTGAACAGAACATAAAATGAAAAATGAAGATCTCAGGGCAATAAATCAGATTACTACCCCACAACCAGAGTGGGTGGAAATGGCATATATCCTCTTTATCCTTCCATCTTCCAATTCAGAGCTTCTCTYTCAAGGGCACCAGTAGGGGGGTCACTGCAGCCCCAAAACAGGGAGCTCTCAAAAGGAGCCCCATAAGGTTGCCAAGGACACTTACGGGGGGGGGGGAGGTGACAATCTCTCCACACCCCAAACTCAATCCAGGATGAAAACCATTGCGCCTCTACGTTTCCCAAGGACACTTATAGGCAGGGGGTGACTATCTCACATCCATGAGTTCCCAACTCAATCCAGAATCGAAACCATGATGCCTAGACAGTTCCTAAAGTCACTTTGAGGGTGATTATTATCTTCCCACATCTCAAACTCAATCCAAAACGGAAACCATACTGTTCCCAAGGATACACTTAAGGGAGGACGACTGTGTTCCCACATCCCAACTGAATCTAGTAATAAAACACCATGTCTATCTAGTTCCTAAGGACATGTATTGGGGGTGGGGGACACTATCCCTCCACATCCAAAACTCAATCCAGAATGGAAAACAATACGTCTAAATGGCTACCAAGTACACTTTATAGAACCATAGAGTTGGAAGAAACATCATGGGCCATCTAGTGTAACCCCCTGCCATGAAGCAGGCAAATTACATTCAAAGCACCCCCCCCAACAGATCCATCCAGCCTCTGCTTCAAAGCTTCTAAAGGAGCCTCCACCACACTCCGGGGCAGAGAGTTCCACTGCTGAACAGCTCTCACTGTCAGGAAGTTCTTCCTAATGTTCAGGTGGAATCTCCTTTCCTGTAGTTTGAAGCCATTGCCCCGGATCCTAATCTCCAGGGCAGCAGAAAACAAGCTTGCTCCCTCTTCCCTTATGGAGGCGACTCTCTCCCCATATCTATGAATCCCAACTCAACCCAGAACGAAAACCATGGTGCCTATAAGGTTCCTAAGGACACTTATTGAGGGTGGTGGTGACTATCTCCCCACATCCTGAATGAAAACCTATAAGCTTCCTGGGGACATTTATGGGGGGGGGGTGGCTAACTATCTCCCCACATCCAGAATGAAAACCTGTAAGATTCCTAAGGACACTTATGGGAGAGATTGACTGTCTTCCCACATCCTGAATAAAAACCTGTAGGGTTCCTAGGGACACTTATGGGGAAACTGCCTATCTTCCCACATCTAGAACTAAGCTTCCTTGGGACACCTATGGGGGGGCTGACTATCTCCCTACATCCAGAATGAAAACCTAGAGGTTCCTAAGGACACTTATGGGGGGGGGGGGTGACTATCTTCACACTTCCAGAATGAAAACCTGTTAGGTTCCTAAGGACACTTATGGGAGTGGGAGCTGACTATCTCCCTACGTCCAGAATGAAAACCTATAAGCTTCCTGGGGACATTTATTTGGGGGGGGGGGGGAGTGTGATTATCTCCCCACATCCAGAATAAAAACCTATAAGCTTCCCGGGGACACTTATGGGAGTGATTGGCTGTCTTCCCACATCCAGAATAAAAACCTGTAGGGTTTCTAGGGACACTTAAGAGGAAACTGCCTATCTTCCCACATCCAGAACTAAGCTTCCTAGGGACACCTATGGGGGGGGGGTGACTATCTCCACACATCCAGAATGAAAACCGGTAAGGTTCCTAGGGACACTTATGGGGAGTGACTATCTCCACACATCCAGATGAAAATCTGTAAGGTTCCTAGGGACACTTATGGGGAGTGACTATCTCCATAAATCCAGATGAAAACCTGTAAGGTTCCTAGGGACACTTGGGGGGAGGGGGGTGACTATCTCCACACATCCAGAATGAAAACCTGTAAGGTTCCTGGGGACACTTATGGGGAGTGACTATCTCCATAGATCCAGATGAAAATCTGTAAGGTTCCTAGGGACACTTATGGGGGGTGACTATCTCCATAGATCCAGATGAAAACCTGTAAGGTTCCTAGGGACACTTATGGGGGGTGACTATCTCCATAGATCCAGATGAAAACCTGTAAGGTTCCTAGGGACACTTATGGGGGGTGACTATCTCCATACATCCAGAATGAAAACCTGTAAGGTTCCTAGGGGGAGGGGGGTGACTATCTCCACACATCCAGAATGAAAACCTGTAAGGTTCCTGGGGACACTTATGGGGAGTGACTATCTCCATAGATCCAGATGAAAATCTGTAAGGTTCCTAGGGACACTTATGGGGGGTGACTATCTCCATAGATCCAGATGAAAACCTGTAAGGTTCCTAGGGACACTTATGGGGGTGACTATCTCCATAAATCCAGATGAAAACCTGTAAGGTTCCTAGGGACACTTGGGGGGAGGGGGGTGACTATCTCCACACATCCAGAATGAAAACCTGTAAGGTTCCTGGGGACACTTATGGGGAGTGACTATCTCCATAGATCCAGATGAAAATCTGTAAGGTTCCTAGGGACACTTATTGGGAGGGGGGTGACTATCTCCCTACATCCAGAATGAAAACCATGGTGCTTTTAATGTTCCTAGGGACACTTATAGGGGTCACTGACTGTTTTCCCACATCCAGAATGAAAATAATGGTTCCTATAAGGCTCCTAGTAACACATATGAGGGAAAGCTGACCATCTCCCCACGTCCAAAATGAAGAACTATAGAATTCCTAAGGACACTTATGGGAGGTGACTATTTCCCCATATATGTGTGTGTGTGTGTGTGTGTGTGTGTATATATATATATATATAAGCTTCCTAGTAACACTTATGGGGGGGGGGTAATTATCTCCCCACATCCAGAACGAAAACCTATAAGGTTCCTAAGGACACTTATGGGTTGGGTGACCATCTCTGCACCTCCCAACTCAACCCAGAATGGAAACCATGACACCTACACAATTCCTGGAGACATTGATGAGTCGAGGTGACCCATCACCCCATATCTATGAGACCCAATTCAATCCTAAGGAAGGACACTTTTGGGGTCGGCGACTAGGAAACCATGAGGGTGCCTATCTATAGGGTTTCCAAGGCCAATGGGGAGAGAAGGAGTCGGCTATCTCTTTCTCCAAACAGGGAGCCAGAGAATAAAAACACAGAGCGGGAAAAAGAAGAATCCCCCTTTCCCCCCAAAATTGTGCCTTCTCCATCTTCCTCAAAGGAGAGGCCAAGGAGAAAGGGGTCTGGGAGGAAGGGGGACCCTCTCAAGGGCGTCCTGCCTTCCTTCCTTCCCTCCCTCCTCCATCTCTTCCTTCTCTCCCATCCCCTCCATCTCTCTCTCCTTTCCCTCCATACCTCGGCCCGGCCGGCGTCCTCCCCGAGGCCGGTGCTAAGGAGCTGGCGGCGGGATTCATGGCGGAGGCGAGGACCGTGGCTTACTCCGGGCCCGGGAGGAATCCAGGAGGACGCCTTGTCTTCTCCTCCTCTTCGCCGAGAAGCGGGTCTCTCTCACTGCAGCAAGCGCCTCTCCCTCCGGCCCGAGGAGACCAGCTAGACACGGAGGAGGAGGAGGAGGCTAGAGGAGGAGGAGGAGGCAGGCAGAGGAGGGCTTCGTCCGTCACACGCCGCCACCACCGCCGCCGCCCGCGGAGTCAGCCAAGCCCCCGGCGGGCAGGGCCTCCGCCTCCTCCTCCTCCTCCTCCTCCGCCTCCGCCTCCTCCTTCAGCAGCGCCAGGCCGCCTCCCTCTCTCCCCGCCGGAAGGGGCAGTCTGAGCAGGGAGGCAGCCTCTTCCCTTGGGAAAGGGGGCATTAGTCTCTTCAGCAGGCCTGGGACAACTTGGGCCCTCCTTCCCTCCCTCCAAGGTTTGGGGCCTCAACTCCCACCATTCCTAACGGCCTCAGGCTTAAGCGGCTGAGGGGGAAAAGGAAGGGGCCTGAGACCGTTAGGAATGGTGGGAGTTGAGGCCCCAAACCCCTGGAAGGAGGGAAGGAGGGCCCAAGTTGGCCTAGGCCCCATCTTGAGGGAATATCTCTCCCCCCCCCCAATAAAGTGAATTGCCCCATTCCCTCAGGAAAGGGAGCATTATTATCTTGAGGGAATATATCCCCCCCCCTAAATAACGTGAACTTCCCCATTCCCTCAGAAAAAGGAGCATTGTTATCTTGAGGGATTATATCCCCCCCCCCCAAATAAAGTGAGCTGCCCCATTCCCTCAGAAAAGGGCATATTGTTATCTTGAGGAAACATATCCCCCTCTCAAAACCTGAACTTCCCCATTCCCTCAGAAAAAGGGAGCATGGTTATTTTGAGGGAATATCTTTCTCCGCCCTAAATAAAGTGAACTGCCCCATTCCCCCAGAAAACAGAGAAGTGTTATCTTGGGGGAATATCTCTCTTCCTCCCTCAGAAAAGGGCATATGGTTATCTTGAGGAAACATATTCTCCCTCCCCCCCCCCCCGGAGCCCCCGGTGGCGCAGTGGGTTGAACCCCTGTGCCGGCAGGACTGAAGACCGACAGGTCGCAGGTTTGAATCCGGGAGAGGCGGATGAGCTCCCTCTATCAGCTCCAGCTCCTCATGCGGGGACATGAGAGAAGCCTCCCACAAGGATGATAAAAACATCAAATCATCCGCGTCCCCTGGGCAATGCCCTTGCAGACGGCCAATTCTCTCACACCAGAAGCGACTTGCAGTTTCTCAAGTCGCTCCTGACACGACAAAAAAAAAACCAACCTCACAGCCTCCCCATTCCCTCAGAAAAGGGAGCATTGTTAGCTTGAGGGAATATCTTTCTCCGTCCTAAATAAAGAGAGCGGCCCCATTCCCTCAGAAAAGGGAGCATTGTTATTTTGAGGGAATATCTTTCTCCGCCCTAAATAAAGTGAACTGCCCCATTCCCTCAGAAAAGGGAGCATTGTTAGCTTGAGGGAATATCTTTCTCCGTCCTAAATAAAGAGAGCGGCCCCATTCCCTCAGAAAAGGGAGCATTGTTAGCTTGAGGGAATATCTCTCATCCTTCCTAAATAAAGTTAATGGTCCCATTCCCTCAGAAAAAGGCATATGGTTATCTTGAGGAAACACATCCCCCTCTTTAAAAACTGAACTTCCCCATTCCCTCAGAAAAGGGAGCATTATAATATTGAGGGAATATCTTTCTCCGCCCTAAATAAAGTGAACTGCCCCATTCCCTCAGAAAAGGGAGCATTGTTAGCTTGAGGGAATATCTTTCTCCGTCCTAAATAAAGAGAGCGGCCCCATTCCCTCAGAAAAGGGAGCATTGTTAGCTTGAGGGAATATCTCTCATCCTTCCTAAATAAAGTTAATGGTCCCATTCCCTCAGAAAAAGGCATATGGTTATCTTGAGGAAACACATCCCCCTCTTTAAAAACTGAACTTCCCCATTCCCTCAGAAAAGGGAGCATTATAATATTGAGGGAATATCTTTCTCCGCCCTAAATAAAGTGAACTGCCCCATTCCCTCAGAAAAGGGAGTATTGATATCTTGAGGGAATATCTTTCTCCGTCCTAAATAAAGTGAACTGCCCCATTCCCTCAGAAAAGGAAACAGCCCCCCCCCCCCCCCCCCCCCCGCTTTAAAAACTGAACTTCCCCATTCCCTCAGAAAAGGGAGCATTGTTAGCTTGAGGGAATATCTTTCTCCGTCCTAAATAAAGAGAGCGGCCCCATTCCCTCAGAAAAGGGAGCATTGTTAGCTTGAGGGAATATCTTTCTTCGTCCTAAATAAAGTGAACTGCCCCATTCCCTCAGAAAAGGGAGCATTGTTAGCTTGAGGGAATATCTTTCTCCGTCCTAAATAAAGAGAGCGGCCCCATTCCCTCAGAAAAGGGAGCATTGTTAGCTTGAGGGAATATCTCTCATCCTTCCTAAATAAAGTTAATGGTCCCATTCCCTCAGAAAAAGGCATATGGTTATCTTGAGGAAACACATCCCCCTCTTTAAAAACTGAACTTCCCCATTCCCTCAGAAAAGGGAGCATTATAATATTGAGGGAATATCTTTCTCCGCCCTAAATAAAGTGAACTGCCCCATTCCCTCAGAAAAGGGAGTATTGATATCTTGAGGGAATATCTTTCTCCGTCCTAAATAAAGTGAACTGCCCCATTCCCTCAGAATATTGAGGGAATATCTTTCTCCGCCCTAAATAAAGTGAACTGCCCCATTCCCTCAGAAAAGGGAGCATTGTTAGCTTGAGGGAATATCTTTCTCCGTCCTAAATAAAGAGAGCGGCCCCATTCCCTCAGAAAAGGGAGCATTGTTAGCTTGAGGGAATATCTTTCTTCGTCCTAAATAAAGTGAACTGCCCCATTCCCTCAGAAAAGGGAGCATTGTTAACTTGAGGGAATATCTCTCTTCCTTCCTAAATAAAGTTAACGGCTCCATTCCCTCAGAAAAGGGCGTATGGTTATCTTGAGGAAACACATCCCCCCTCCTTTTAAAAACTGAACTTCCCCATTCCCTCAGAAAAGGGAGCATTATAATATTGAGGGAATATCTTTCTTCACCCTAAATAAAATGAACTGCCCCATTCCCTCATAAAAGGGAGCATTGTGATCTTGAGGGGATATCTCTCTTCCTTCCTAAATTTAATGGCTCCATTCCCTCAGAAAAAGGGCATATGGTTATCCTGAGGAAACATCCCCCGCCCCCCTCCCCGGTTTTAAAAACTGAACTTCCTCATTCCCTCAGAAAAGGGAGCATTATAATTTTGTGGGAATATATCTCTTCCCCCCCCCCCCCATAAATAAAGTGAACTACCCCATTCCCTCAAAAAAAAGAAAAGAAAAAAGGGAGCATTATTGATTTTGAGGGAATATCTTTCTCCAGCCTAAATAAATTTAACGGCCACATTCTCTCAGAAAAGAGAGTATTGTTAGCTTGGGGAAATATCTCTCTTCCTCCCTAAATAAAGTGACATGCCCCATTCCCTCAGAAAAGAGAGTATTGTTAGCTTGAGGGAATATCTCTCTTCCTCCCTAAATAAAGTAAACAGCCCCATTCTCTCAGAAAAGGGAGCATTATTATCTTGAGGGAATATTTTTCTCTGTCCTAAATAAAGTTAAAGGCCCCATTCCCTTTAAAAGGGGAGCATTGTTATCTTGAGGGAACATCTCTCTTCCTCCCTAAATAAAGTGAACTGCCCCATTCCCTCAGAAAAGCGTGCATGAATATGGAGGAAACATATCTCCCCCACTAAAAGTGAACTGCCTGTTCCCTCAGGAAAGGGAGCAAGATTATGTTGAGGGAATATGTCTCTCCCCCCCCCCCCATGAAGTGAATTGCCACATTCCCTCAGAAATAGGCATATGATTATCTCATGGGAATATGTATCTCCCCCTAAATAAAGTGAGCTGCCCCATTCCCTCAGAAATGGAAATATAATTATCTTGTGGGAATATGTCTCCCTCCCCTCTAAATTAAGTGAGCTGCCCCATTTCCTCAGAAATGGCACATGATTTTGTGGAGGAAAATTTCTTCTTCCACTAAATGAAGTGAACTGCCCCATTCCCATTATTCTTATTATGGGGTAAGTGGATTATCTCCCCACGTCCACAGGTCCTGATGCAATCCAGAAAGAAAACCATTGTGCCTGTATAGTATTATTATTGACCCATTGCAGGAAAAAATATATGGAAAACGAGTCTTCAACCTTCACAGCAAATGGGCTCTGGGGTTGTGCTCTGCCGTTAGTATTGCCCCGTGGTTGATATTTGTCTGGGGAAGAACTCTGTAGTACATTTTTGAGCCAGTCTTATATTGGTTTCGGTTTGAGTCTAAAACTCTGGGAGCCCAGAGTTAAACCTCTGCTCAGCCATAGAAATGGAAATGCACAGGGCAAGATGGGACCAGTCACACTCTTTCATCTTCAGAGGAAGGCCATGACAGCTCTCCTCTGAACAAATCTTGCCAAGAAAACCCCATATAGACAAAAGAGGGAGACCCCATTTCATTGTTGTTGTGGGTCTTCGAGCCATTTCCAATTTATGGTGAACCGATTGCAGGTTTTTCCTGGCAAGATTTATTTGGAAGGGATTTGCCTTTGCCTCCCTTTGAAATTGAGAAAGTGTGTCTTGTCAAAGGTCATCCATGGAGATTTCACGGTTGAGCAGGGAGCCAAAGCCTGGTCTGCAGAGTCTTAGGCTCTGCCATATAATCCAGTTTCTGAATCCAGATTATCTGCTTTGAATAGGATTATGTGAGTCTAAGCTACAATCTTGGGTTATATGGTGGTGTGGATGGGGCCTTAAACTGGAGCTACACTACCTTATAATCCAGTTTCAGAATGCAGAGTACCATAACACTTAACTGGATTATACAGGCAGTCCCCAAATTACGAACAAGATATATAGGTTTGTTCTTAAATTGAATTTGTATGTAAGCCAAAACAGGTACATGTTAAAGTGTAATTCCAGCTATGTATATATTTAGCTTTGGATAGCAGAGGGAAGAGTTAACACCCCTGTGATGTTTGTTTTGCTGTATATGTCCCTGTTCAGAAATTTCACCTCACTTTCTGTCCCTGTGCAGAGAAGCAGAGAGAGACAGTTTTTAAGTGTGTTCTTGCTTCATGAGCTGCTGGAGGAAGATTTTCCACAGGGACAAAGAAAGACCATTTTTAATCTCTCTAGGGAAGGACGTTATGTGAGTTAATGCGACTGATCACATA